AGATGACTCACCCAGACCGAGAGCACCGTTTGCAGGAGGCAACAGAAGCTGCAGGGGGATTGATCCAAACGTTAGTGAGGGCTCGCGGAATACAGGGGGAACGGGAGAGCAGACAGGCGCGGGCAGCTGGGCCGAGCACTCCGCAACTGGGGTGGGGTGGGGTGGGGGTCGAATCTTGCTGGGGTGGTGAAGCAGCTCAGTCACGGTCTGACGGAATGGGAGAGCAGCTCTTACGGGGTGAATGGCCTCCTCCTGTGTTCTGGGGGAGTATTTCAGTTCAGAGTGAAGACAAGGCGGCACCTTCACCAACTGGGACCAAGGGTGCAGGAGGTGTGGGGGGTGGGGGGTGGGGGTGGGCACAGGATCCAGGCTTGGAGTCGGTTAACGCTGAGTCACGTTTGGAAGTGTGAGCCAAAGGAGGGACGTCCCTCTTTTTCAATTCCACGGCAGCATTGGAGAGGGAGTGTTACAGTTCTCCTGAGGTATCCCTGCAACACGCACAGTGAGTCAGAATGCTAACCTGGTCACGATCACTCGTGTGCGCATACTGACCGACTTGTGTTTGCTCAAACAGTGAGCACTGTTGAGTACATGGGATAGTAGGAACTGCAGATGCTGGAGAATCTGAGATAACAAGGTGCAGAGCTGGATGAACACAGCAGGCCAAGCAGCATCAGAGGAGCAGGAAGGCTGACATTACGGCCCTAGACCCTTCTTCAGAAAATGGGTCAGAAGAAGGGTCTAGTCCCGAAACGTCAGCTTTCCTGCTGCTCTGATGCTGCTTGGCCTGCTGTGTTCATCCAGCTCTACACCTTGTTATCTCAGCCTGAAGTCTCAGCGGCTTTTGGGAATCGGCAGTTCTGTTTGTAGTGTCGCCAGGCGCCAGCAGATCACAGAGCCCGCGTATGCCAGTGTTCTCTGCCCAGGATCCGATAGTCAAGTGGCAGCAGATAGGATATCCATCCCCCACCCTGGTCCTGAAAAATCCTCTTGAATATACAGGAAACAAAACAGCAGCAAGCTGCAGAGGCTACACAATGGCAGCTTTGCAAAGTTCTGCAGGTGTCAGATGTGTACTTTGTCTGCGTTGATATCTGATAGGTCTTTTCATCCTGTTAACGCTCAGATTCGCCAAGACACTGACAAAGCCACCTTCTGATGTTCTGCAGGAGAAAGCATTGACCATGGCCAGGATGTGGGAGGCGTCCTTTAGCGCCCAGTCACACAATGCTGCAGCAGAGACAGTCTCTCTCATACAGTAACTGGTACACCTTGGTATTCCACCAGCTCTCCAAAACACAGCAGGGAAGTGAAGGGAATGGAACTCATGTGGCAGCTGGTGACATTCCCTGAAGTGGTGCTGGCTGTTCTTCAGTGTGGGGCATCATCTTTCCCTTGTGTTGTAAGCCAGTGCTGCTGAGATACCTTACAGGAATGTCTGAGGGTCTGCACACTCTCACTCACTCACACAGACACACACACACACACACACACACACACACATGCTCTCTCACTCACTCACACACACACACTCTCACAGTCTCTCACACACAAAGTCACACACACAGTCACTCTCACATGCTCTCACACACACTCTCTCACACTCACACACACACAGTCTCTCACACACAGAGTCACACACTCTCACACACACGCACTCACACATGCTCTCTCACTCACACACATGCACTCTCACACACACACTCTCACATACACACACTCTCACACAGTCTCTCACACACAGTCACTCAGTCACTCACACATGCTGTCACACACACTCTCTCGCACTCTCACACACACACTCTCTCACACACACACAGTCTCTCACACAGAGTCACACACACACACACAGTCTCACACACACAGTCTCTCACACAGAGTCACACACACACACAGTCTCTCACACACAGAGTCACTCACACTCTCTCTCACACACACGCACTCTCTCTCACACACACTCTCACTGTCTCTCACTCCCTCACACTCTCTCCCTCTCTCTCTCCTTGCTCCTGATCTCAAGCTCAGACCCTGCGATGCCTCTGAGCATGTTGTACGACCTGGCTTCAATCCCTCAATCAGAGGCGACTGTCGATCCAACTCCTGGGGACAGGCTGTGAGATCTCCCTCTTCGCCTGCTCGCTCTGGACTGGGATCCTACACCCTGACTGATATTGAAGTGGCGTGACCACCAGAGCGAGAGGTCAGAGGGGCAAGGTTCCAGGAGAAGTGGCAGCAGGTCTAAAACAGAGACGAGGAGAACGTAACTCTCTCAAAGGGCGGTGGATCTGTGGAACTCAGTGATCCAGAGTGTGGTGGATGCTGTGACGTTGAGTAAAATTAGGGAGGAGACGGGCAGATGTTTGTTTTTTTTAATGAGTAATGGTTTGGAGGGTTATGGGGAGCAGGCTGGAGAGTAGAGTTGAGGCTGAGGTGGGAAAGAACACGGTGAAATGAAGCAGGGCTGCACATACCACACTTCTCCAGCTGCCCATGCGAACTTTGCGAGTGAGTGCACAGACTGTCAAAGAGTGGAGAGCTCTCACTGCTGCCTCAAAGGCCACCCCTTCACGTATACCTTCAACCAGCGAGATCAGCCCATCCCTGTTCCTGGGACAATCCCGGGTCAGCACACTCTCTCTGTTGGACGAGGTTGGTCTTTGGATGCTGGGGCAGGGGGAGTCCTGAATGGTGTGAATACAAATACATTTGCTCAGGATTGAGTGCAGGTTACCACGGTGAGGCACAGTGCCGCTCCGACAAAATCCCAGACACTGAAACCGTGAGGGGAGATTGACCAGGATGGGAGTGGATTGTTTGCAGGGTAAGGAGAGGCTGGGTCTTCTTTCACTGGAGCTTCGATGACCTTACAGACATTTATAAGACCATGAGGGGCACGGATAGGGTTAATGGCAGCTGTCCTCCCCTTATGGCGGGGGATTTCAAAACGAGGGGGTGCATTTTTAAGGTGAGAAGATACAGATTTAAAAAGGACATTTGGAGCGAATTTTTGTATGCCGCGAGTGGCTCGTGTGTGGAGTGAACTTCCTGAGGAAGTGGTGGATGCGGGTACAGTTACAACATTTGAAAGGCATTTGGATAAGTACATGAATAGGAAAGGTTTGGAGGGATATGGGCCAGGGGCAGGCAGGTGGGGCTAGTTCAGTTTGGAATTGTGGCCAGCACGGACTGGTTGGGACGAAGGGTCTGTTTCCATGCTGTGTGGCTCCATGACTTGTTGGAAATGGTTGCTGTGCTGGGATCTCTCACGGTGGGCTACAATCACAGGGTCTTGGTGCTGTCTGTGGGTCAAGACCCTGTCCCGACTCTCGGGCCTGTGACATGCCCCCTTTCGTTTTCGACTGGTTCAGATTCACAGCAACCAGGCTGCTGTGGGAAGTGAGAGATCGGGGCTCTGTCTACACTAGGAGCTGCCAGTCTTAGCCCTTGAGAGGGATTTCAACCAGCTAGCTGTGAGGGTCAGACTCGCTCCTGGTGAGGAGAGGCCCCTGAAGCCTTGGGACTAGGCGGGGTGGGAAATGGTGGAGAGGGAGGGCCGCTGAGGGTGACATTGTACAAGGTGTGAGGACACAACTGACTGCTTTCTCTGTTCTCTACCTCCAGATTCTCCGGTAGCCGCTGCTGTTCGGGCCCATTTTGAGGATTGTCCTGCGACTCACAGACACTTTTGTTTCCATGGGACCTGTCGGTTTTTGGTGCAGGAGTCGTTGGCGGCCTGTGTGTAAGTGGGCTTGGTTCGGCAAATCCCGGGATCACCAGGAGTGGGACTAGAGCTTTAGGCGAGACCTTTCAGCGTCTCGACCATAACACATTGACTGATCTCCAACAGAAGCAGCACAGGCAGGCCATTCAGCCCCTCGAACATCCCTGCTGGCCCGCCAGGTCACGGTGCAGCTTCCACAAGATAGCCCCATCCCGGGATACATCCCGGTTCCCTCAAGGACCTGAGAACCGGATGGTCTCTGTCCTGGGGGTTGGAGCACCGACTGGGAAAGATAAATCCAAAGATTCTCCACGTTTGGGGCAAAGATCTCAGTCGAAAACATTGGATTCATTGTCCTGAGATTGTGACCTCCCCTGGGCGTACACAGCAGTGACCCTGTCAATCTCTCCACAGAAATTGGATCATGCATCCAGTCCCCTGTTGATGACAGTGAATGCCATCCCTGTCTCCGTAAAGGACAGTCCTGCCACTCTGCCAGGAACTGATCCAGTGAAATTAACTTTCACCTCCTGCACTGTTTTTAAAAATAAATCCCTCATTTAGTCAACAAACCAGAACAGCTCACTGTTTTCCCAAAACCCTGGAACAGTTCCGGTGAAAGTTCTTCACCCTCAACTCCACCTCCTTCGTGAGAAATACAGAAATTCCTTCTGAATTTCTCACTGCAGCTGCACAGTAACTGAGTATTCATTTCCCAGAATGCTCAGATCCTGCTGCACACCCGGACTGTCTCCTCTCTCTCTTTCTTTCTCTCTCTGCCTACTGCTCCTATCCCTGAAAACTCAACCTCTTCACACAGTGAACCCATGTCCCTTCAGAAGCCCCAAAAAGACCTGCCTCCTCCCACACTCTCAGACACTACATTCCAGACCCTAACTGCTGTGTTTGCACAAGAGGCTGTCCCCTCTCATTCTCTATCCTTGCATCAGTGGGAAGAGTGACTGTATCCAGTCTGTCCTGGTTTTGTGTATCTGAGCTGGCTCACTGATGCACTCACACACTCACTATTGGAGGCAGGAGCCTTGTGTCGAGCCCTTTCACTGCTTGGAAATAGAGAACCCACAGATAGTGGTCATCCTCCCCACTTCCAGCTTGTGACTGAGCAACCAGGACCAGACCAAACAGGGTTGGAATGTGCACAAACTCCAGAAGCTGGTGAACAGTGAATATTTCCAACCCCGCCAACACTGTGGAAGGGTTTGAGTTCGATTGTGTTCGGAGTGTGCAGAAACTGGGATTATTCTCCAGTGGGGGAGAGAGAGAGAGACAGACAGATACTGAAGGACAGATTCTGTCAAGGAATTTCACATGACGGAGTTCCTGTTGATAAGGAGACACTGAGATCAAGTGAATTGGCAGACAGCCAGAGGAAGAATTTTTGGTTTAAATGACCCAGAGGGTTTGATATATTGTGCGATTGGGAAAGGGTAGGAGCGTCTGTTTAGAAAGTTTGGAAAGGATGTGGAGAGCACTGGATACGGGATGGATTATTCCAAGTAAACTGCAAAGTTAGGTGGCAGGGCCAATTCATTGTACAGCCAGAAGGGTGGGGCTGGGCCAAATGGCCGCCTGGCATGCGGCCTCGTCCTGACAAGTGACCTGTTTTGTTTTGTAGCTGTCACACTGGCTACATGGGCTCCCGATGTGAGCATGCCGACCTCCTGGCTGTGGTCGCGACCCAGCAGAAACAACAAGCCCTCACTACACTCTTGGTGGTATCTGTCATCGTCTGTGTTCTCCTGATGGTAACCTGTGTCTTTCTGCAGTGAGTATGGCTCTCCATTCGCAGGCCGGGGGTGGGGGGAGCACAGAGTGTGGATGGGGGGGCGGGGGGAGGGGG